ATCTTACACTAATCCCTGAACGCTAAACCCTGACCTTCCGCCTTTGCAGCAGCAAAAGATAAACCCTAGACCTTAAACCCTAAATAGTAGTTTCCATTTTATTTTCCATTATCCCAATATTAACCCCAATGCTAATTAACCCCTATAATCCCTGTAGTTTCCATTTTATTTCAATGGCACCAAGCTACGCAGCTGCACCTCTCGAAGTCGAGCTGCCTCTTCAGCCAGCACTTGGTGCTCGAAATGAAGCTGATCAAGTTCCTCCTTCAACGAACAGAGCTGGTAAGAACAGTCGATATTTCCACCCCACAAAGCACTAGAAACAGGCAATCCATCTTGCCATCCATGTTTGTTGCTCACCACCTCACTACCTTTATTACTATAAGGAATATATTGGTATCATATAGGGAAACTGGAAACGAAAACAACTACTACATTAAAATAGAGATGGGCGCGTGTGGGCTGATCAGGAGATCATGGTTTTAACTAATTTTCGGTTTATTCATGAATTGGTTTATGATCAATTGTATGGCCCCAGAAATGTTTATGATTTAGTTTATGATCAAATTTATGCTTCCAGAAATGTTTATGAAAAAGTGTATGACTACTTTTATGGTCCCAGAAATGTTTGAGAAGTGACATTTGAAAACGCGAGCCCAAATTCGGTTTGATTTGACTTGTGATTGTTCTCAGCCTTGGCGCGCGTGCCCCAAACGTGCATTTGCCTGTCTGGGTTTAGGGTTTAGGGTTAAGGGGTTAGGGCTTAGGGTTAAGGCTTTAGGGTTTCGGGTTTAGGGTTAAGGGTTTAGGGACTAGGATTTGGCCGCTCCTCGCTGCCTGCCGATTCATGTGAAGGCAGCATCACAACAGTTGCTCTCTGAAGGGTTGGGCAAGGAGCTTCAGGGAGGGCGCGCCCTTCTCGGGATACTGGGCCAGTTCCAATTCATAAATCAAACCATAAAAAAAAACGGTGGAGTGGGGCGGGGCGGGGCGGGGCGGGGCGGGGTGGGGTGGGGTGGGGGGGGTGGGGCGAAGTGGGGCCATGAGGGTGTCGTGGGCCGGTGGGCTGAGTCGCAAGCCCGCCAGACCCCAATAAAGCCACCACAAGCGATGGCCTGAACAAGCCCAATTGCAGTTTCACAAGAGATTTGAAAGGGCACAAACCTACATATAGCTGTTCATGCATGCAACCAGAAACCAAAGCAAAAATCATTTCGGAACCATAAATGAAACCATAAAAGAAATCATAAACTTTTCTGAGCCATGAATAAAACCACAAAAGAAATCATAAACTTTTTCTGAGCCATAAATGAAACCGTAAAAGAAATCATTAACTTTTCCTGAACCAGTGACTGAATCAAAGTGCAAACCGTAAATTAATGTTGGCCGACCGATGGGTCACCAGCCAAGCTCGCACGTCTCTACATTATAATAGGGTATACATTTATCATTTGAGTGGACGCCGCCTGCTGCAGTTTGATGACACGGCGCTGCTCGACCAGTCGGGCAGCAAGCACCTCATCAACCTCAGACTCACGGAGCCTAGAATTGCTTACCTGCTAGGTAGGGATAATGGAAAAATGGAAACTAGTATAATGGGTTATATAGGGCCTACTATAAGGAAAATGTGTGGATTATATAGGGAGAATGGAATGGAAACTACGACATTGTAATAGGCTACATAGTGCGGGTGGGAAGCACATCATTCGCAGAAGCCATAGAGTCCAACGGCCTTTGTCGGTCTAGACTTGTGTACATGCCAGCCGAAAGTACATGCATGATGTCTGAAGCCGTTGAAGGACTGGAGATGGTTTGGTGGGGTATATGAACTATAGTCTAAACTCCTAGTATCCCCCTTAATGACCCCTATAATAGTCCCCTATAAATCGCCTAATATAATCCCCTTTAAGGAGTTTAGACTATAGCTCATATGCAGCAAACCCGGCGCTCACGACTGGACCGCGGCCGGGCATCCAGAAAAATAGTTGCACTGCACGTACTTACTTATGCTTTGCATTGACGCACCGTTGGCTGCTCCTGTCGCCAAGGCCCCTGCAAGACCGGACTGCTGCACCGCCTCTTCACCAGTTCAGAAGAAGGGGAAAATACGGCATCAGCTTGTTTTCGTCGCAGCATGTGGCAGCCATTTAACATCATTGAAAACACGCACATGGTCAGCGCACTGGCCTCCAGCTCCAGTTGAGACTCCAAGTCGTCCAAACAACGATCCAGCCGACGCTCGGCCAAGGACAGCTTGTAGCAGCCCTGAAGCCAAGCAATTTTGCCGCGAGGAATTATCATAGGAGCCCATGGGGTCCCAAATTAAGGGGATATGTGGTGGTCATCACATAACATGTATACATATCATACATTATACATATATATATATATGTATGTCTGATGTATTTGTATGGTGGCTAGCACAAGAGATGAGTTGTCTGCCTCCTCGAAGTCTCGAATACGAAGCTCAAGGCCATCGCGAAATAGAAAAACCTGCCCGTTCCGCATAAACAAAAACGACTTACGCTGCCACGACCCCGCGGTTCAGGGTTGTAGTCTTCTGTTTTAGGATTACAGCTGTACATAGCTGTACTGTAGGAAATCATTCCCATCATTTATGTATCCACACCCCCAATCCTAGATTTATCAATGGGGTGGAGATTTACAAACTGCCCTGTGATGCGCCCTTTTCCGACTTGCTTATTCGCCCTCAAGTCGCAAGATGATGCTGTACACCGTCTGGTCCAGCATGTCATCTGCTGGCTGGCCTCTGCAACTTATCCGGTGCTAGTAGGTAATAAGGGAATAGAGCATATAGTGGGTATATGAGGAACAAGGGAATAGAGAGTATTTTGTGAGCATATGGGGAATACGGGACTAGAGTATGTAGTGAGTATATGGGGAACAAGGGAATAGAGTATATAGTGAGTATATGCGGAACAAGGGAATAGAGTATATAGTGAGTATATGGGGAATCAGGGAATAGAGCAAATAGTGGATATATGGGGAACAAGGGGATAGAGTATATAGTGAGTATATGGGGAACAAGGGAATAGAGTATTTCGGGATCATATAAGCTATAGTCTTAGCTCCTAGTATCCCCCTTTATATCCCCTGAAATACTCCGTATATAATCCCCTATCTAGCCTCCTTTAAGGAGTTTAGACTCTAGCTTATATAGGGATTGCAGAATATTGCCTTATTCCTTACTAACCCCCAGTAAGGCAGAGGCACCCACAGCTTCTCGCCTAAACCCTAAACCCTAGACCCTAAACCCTAAATCCCTAAACCCTGAGCACTCCCAGGCTGAGACTGCCACCGAGATCTGCATCTGCCAGGAGCGCACTTGCGATGCTCAGTGCTTGCCTGGAGCTGGGCAAGCGCTTTCTTTCTGGGGGTAAGTAGGGAATGTGGGAATAATTGTATTATATAGGGATCGTATGGGGATTATATTCCTTCAGTCCCTACTAAGAGCCCAGTAAGGGACAGAATGTCCAAGAGAATCAAGAGCGCTCCAAACCTTCTCACGGCAGTCGCTTCCATGGGGTCTCTGAAGTCCAGGCACAAGGCCTGCGAGGGAAAGCTCTCATTCGAGGTATCAGCTCCGGAATATCTTACTGGTGCTTAGTGGGGCATAAAGGCACACAATCCCTATATAACCCCTAGACCAGATGTTCCTTATTCCCTACTGCAACCCCAATATCTACCCTATTATAACTTATTGGCTGTCATTTTCTTTTCCACGATCCCTATATAACCCCACTATAATCCCCATAATCGCTATATTACCCTTATATAACCCCTATTATCCTTTTATAATCCCTATATAACCTCTATATCCCCATATTCTCTACTACGAACCCCCACGAAGATACAGAAGCCCAAGAGGCCTTGAGGCGGAGGAGCTCTGCAGCTTCCAGGGTCAGCGTTTCCTGACAACTCACAGCGCGGGTCGGAGTTAATAGTAGATTAGGGTTTAGGGTTTAGGGTTTAGGGGTTTAGGGGTTTAGGGTTGAGGGTTTAGGGGTTAGTAATAATTGAGGTGGACCCCCCACCCTGTAATAGTGACTATTATGGATAATAAGGATTGTATTAGGGTCCTCTTATATTCCTATTATACCACTCTTACAGGATGGGGGGGTCCTCATAAGTCATAATAGTAAGAATAATTTGCAATGATCATAACAAGACTAACAAGAATACTAGCAGTAGTAATAATAACACTGAATGGTAGTAGTAATAACAAAAATACGAGCACTGACAATAACAAAATAAGAGCCTGTCTCGACGCGCAAGGACAGGCCTGCCCCAAGGCTTGCCGCAGGGATCCGAGCCTTCATGCAATCTCGCGCTTGTTATCCGCCGAGGCCCCTGGCCTCTGGCCTTTGGGGGAGCAATACTCTACCCAATCCCCCTTCCTCCCCGCCCAGCGGACCGCGTCGCCATTTTCTTCAACCCGTTATTGGGCGGGTAGCTCTGGTGGGACTGGCCAGAAAGCCTGGGGGTCGGGCGTCAAGCTGGCGAGGAGAATCAGTCGGCCCCCCAGGGCGTTGGCTCGGTCTTTGGGGGTTTGGCGAAATTGTCGATTTGTGGGGTCTTTCACATCGTGCTGCCCCCCCCCCCCTACTAGTATTAACGGTTAAGACTATGATTACTAGTACTAAGTATGATTGCTAGGAATGACAATCAATACTATCATTACCAATCTTACTTACCAGTATTGCTTTATCACTATCATTACTTTTATTACTATTGTTACCATGTTGTATTCCTATCATTCCTATCATTCCTATTATTACTATTCTTACTGGTCTTGTTCCTATTATTACTATTACTATTATTGGGCCCCAAGCTGCTTCTGCTGGAAGGCCCCTACCTGCAGTCAGCAGCTCCAACTAACTCCTCCGGATTGAGCGAGAGCATGTCCACCTGGGCCTGTGTCAGCACGGCACAGACGCCCGAAGAGTTCCGCACTGCAGGCCGAAGTATGGCTGGGTGAGCTACCTGGAATGCCTGCTGGAGCTCTCCCTCCATGCTGCTCATCTTGAGCAGCAACAGCCCAGCCTGAGCAAAAGGCATCCGGGGTCATCAACACTCTTGCAAGATACGAGGCTCCTCTAAAGCTGCGCCAGCAGCGTCCGCAGCCAACCAGTGAGCCTCGCCACTTTCCCATAGGGTCTGTGAAGCTCCGAGGGTGTGCACGCCTGCATGGCTGGCGTCATGGACCCACTAAGGCCCGTGAGGTCTCTGTAAAGGAGAACCGTGCTTGCCAGACCTCGAGCAAGTTCCTGCATGCAAGAGGGCCACACGCGAACACATGCACAAAAAGCTCGTCTCCAACCACGTGCCTCGTCAGCTGCAAGGAGAGATTCTACCTTCACATGGACAGGGTCAGCTACAGAGTGCAACAGGGAATCTTGCGTCTCAAACGACGCCTCAGCGCCGGATGCAAACTCATCGGGCTCGCCCAGCTCTTGGTACAGCTCGTCCACAGCAGAAAGGGACAGCTGCGGAGCCGCAGGCTGCAAGAAGTTTCGCAGCACAGCGCGCCCACTGGAGCCGCGGCACCTACACAAGTCTGGAAGCAACTAACCGTCCCGGAGAACGGCCCTGCCACATGGATCCAAAACGTCCTGCCATGGCACGAGGGAAACCCTTCTTGTTGAGGCAAGGCTCCAGGGCGGAAGCTTGCGATGCCGTTCCACCTGCTTGAAGAAGCAGAGGCAAAGAGCTAGACAAACCTGCTCCCTTGGGTATGTCCTACTGCATTGCGGTACACAAAGGAGATCTGGAGTATTCTGGAGTCTAGCGCAACCGAAGATCTCAAAGGCATGCCGGGGCCGCCCAAAGCTGCTCAAGGTTCGCCATCTCTTCAGCCTTCAAAAAAGCAGCCCAACCAACCCTCCAATTCTATCTAATTCTAAGATGCTCTAAGTGATGAGCTAATTGCTTGCAATTCTCTTCTCAGCTAACAGCCTCCATAACCTTGCCACAATTTGCGCATGCTGCCCAGCCATCCAGCTCCGCCGTGGCAGCGCCCAGCTGTACCTGCACGGACAAAGGCAGGTTCAAGTCTGTCTGTTACAGCACAATCGGTTTGTTATCAAAAAAGCATCAAGGACGATTTTCTGCGACTTAGCAAGGGCAAGCTCATCCAATGCCACCAACGGCTCTCTGGGCTGCCGGTGTCCCGCTGTCCTCGCTCCTGGTGCTGGCTGCCGAAGTTCATGGTATGCTTTGGCCTTCATGTCGGCAGCACGTCTTGAACTTGATGCTACGTCTGCCATGCCTGAAATATCTTGCCATGCTTTGCGTTTCCTAAGCTCTTCGACTCGCTGGTTTGGTGGCGACTGCCGAGCGTCGGCCTCGACCACGGCCATGTTGAGGTTCAGAGCTGGCTGGGAGCAATTTGGGCGGAAGGGGCAGCAGCTTGTTGTCATGACCAGGCAGAAAGCGGAAACGTCCGGGACCGGACTCCTCAGGCAACATCAGCCTGTCGTGGCCGCTCAGCCACTGCCTGATGTTGTCAGCATCCAAGGCCAAGGCATCGTCTGGCTCCAAGGCTTCCAGCTCTGCCCTGAGACGCTTTTGACGCTTTTTCTGGAATCGCACTGAGCAGTGGTAACATAGCCGCGTGACATTGCGCCAAGTGGAGGCTAAAGGTTGTACACCAAGCTCCTGCAGTTCAAAAGCGGAATTCATCATGCGCTCATTAAGGTTGACCAGTGCAGGATGTGTTTCGGCCTTCTTCATCTCCACTAAGACTAGGTGAGCGTTCTCAGACTGATGTCTGTGCGAGAGGATATAACCATGGAGCAACAAGGTGTAAGCAGTTTCATCATAAGGAATCGCGCGGTCTTTTAATTCCCAAAAATACCGCTCCCACAAGCTCCAGTCGTAGTAGACCATCGCATGCCAGATCTTGCGATAGATCTTCTTCCTGAGCTCTTTCACCTGGTCATCTGTCATGGCTTCCCCTGGCTGTGGCTCAAGAGGAACATTCGGCGGCCATCGAAAGTTTGGATCACCCACAGGCTTGGCAACAACGGAATTCTCATCATAAGGCCACTGTGGCCAAACAGTAACACGTCGGCATTGCATAAACGGAAACCGCGCGAAAGGCCTCACACGGAGGATCCAGCCCTGCATGTTGAAGAAGGGTCAGGGAAGAAATTGGACTCGCGTTTAGGCAGGTGCCCATGTTGGAGCCGAAAGGGTCTATATTATCCCCCTATAATGGAGAATCAAATGGAAAAGAAAATGGAAAATGAAATGGAAACTGGGGGAATATAGGGGTCAAGGAGCTTGATTTAACGAAAGGGTCTGGCAAAAAAAAGGTCCAAGCTGTAGGATGCTGAAGGATACTAGGGTTTAGGGCTTAGGGTTTAGGGTTTAGGGTTTAGGTAAACAAAGCACGTCGGGGGTTTTGCAAGTACAGTTGAACGATCAACTGGAGGGTTGTAGATAAGGATCATCTCAACAGTTCGCCCTCAGGAGCCATGACTCCAGCCCTCTCGCACAGTTTGCCTCCCCTGCGACTCCATTGTTAAATCCAAAGCCCCCAAATTAGCTAAACGTAAACCTACTTGTAGCATCTGGATCTTGCAGAACTACATATAATCGATGCAACCTCTACCCGACAGGGCATGAAGAAGAAGAAGAAGAGCTTGGAATTGCAGAACCCCGGGACCCCAAGGCGCAAAATGACCCCATGCATTGAGGCGCACGTGACGGCTCTGAAATCCAATCATCCCGCTGCAACCTTCGTGGTGTTGAAAAGTACTCGGTAGAAATTTGATACGTTCATTGACTGCAAAAGTGCAGAGCGCTCCAAAAGCCGTGCTCGGGACATGATGGGCATAGATAGCTTCGACGATCATCAGGCTGCGTGCATCTGACGATCCCAAAGATTGTCCGGCAAAAAAACACAGTACTGCAGCTACTGCAAGTGCCCAGGTGGATCCCTAGGCCTTTGGCACGAGCATAGGAATCCCCACGTCTGACGGAGCAGCTTCCTCACATCAATCAAGCCCATTTTCCGCGAAAGTTGAATATCTCCATCTGCCTCCGGATGGAAGAAGGCTCAAGCAGGTCTGACTCTGACAAGTACGACCTCAACATATTCCAAAAAACAACTTGGCCACTCACATGCATGCAAGCTGAGCTCCTGGCACCGTGACCTCGTCACCAGCACGGATGGGTGTCAAAGCCACAAGCCTCCAAAACAATGTGAGCCATAGTCCAAACTCATAGTATTCCCCTTGAATAACCCCAATAGTAGTAGTCCCCTACAGTCCCTCCGAGAGGCCCCTTTAAGGAGTTTAGACCCTAAACCCTAAACCCTAAACCCTAAATAGTAGTTTCCATTTTCTTTTCCATTATCCCAATATATCCCCTATATAATCCCCTATATATCCCCCTTTAAGCTCATGTAGCACCACCACTTAAACCCTAAACCCTAAACCCTAAACCCTACCACAAAGTCTTTTGAAAGCGCAAGGTGCCTAACTCGGCCATCAGCCTCCACACTCAAACGAGCCCTGGGCCTCAGCAAAGAAGACAGGTTTAGGGTTTAGGGTTTAGGGTTTCCAGCAGCCTCCTATGAGTGCTTCAACATGTTTTGAATTATAGGGATTTCCCAAAATTAGGGGTACCTTTTCGGGTGTCCCCATAATTACAACACATAATTGTCGTCTTAACTGGGTCCCCGTTTCTTACCCCAAGAGCTACCCCTAATTTTAGGAAACTATCGTGCGGCTGAGCCCTGCGCAAGCAGGAGTGGTTTGCTCGGCAGGCAGTGGCATAAAGTGCAGTACGCCCATCCGGCACCTGACACTGCTTGGTTACCCTGCACATGTCTTGATACAACCTATAATTCATAATATATAGGTTCATATACATACACTATATTATACATATTATATGTGCAGCATTGGGGGCTATATACAACCCCTAAACAGCCCCTGAGCCCCAATTGAGCCATGGTCTAAACTCCTAGTATCCCCCTTTATAAGCCCTATAGTATTACCCTATATAATCCCCTATGTAACTCCCCTTTAAGGAGTTTAGACTATAGCTCATTTGGGAAAGGCAAAGGCGGACCTCGACCCCGTTGACTCGAAGAACCTTGGCTGGCCGAAGGCACAGCAAACAGGGAGGCGCAGAATTTATATACTATAATAGGGTTTAGGGTTTAGGGTTTAGGGTTCAGGGTTAATATTGGGGTTATATAGGGGTTATATAGGAATAATGGAAAAGAAAATAGAAACTAGTATAGTATGATAAGGAATTTATATACTATGGTAGTTTCCATTTTCTTTTCCATTATCCCAGTATAACCCCAATATACTATATTGTAGTTTCCATTACCCCAATATAACCCCAATATACTATATTGTAGTTTCCATTATCCCAATATAACCCCATAATCTATTTGGGGCTCCCCACACGCAAGAAGAGAAACGCCTGCTCGTCGCCCTTGGCGGCTTCCTCCTCTGCACGCCAGTCCTGGAATCATCTCAGCTGCTTGGGTTTCCCGTGACCTTGGAGAGTTATCGATGGGGGTTTCCCAAAATTTGGGATACCATATTTGGGGGTCCCAATGATAAGGACTCTAGCAGATTGGAGTCTATATAGAGGTCCCTCTATTTTGGGAAACTACCACAAAGGTTACCGTATCAAAGCTCAAGTTCAAAAGCCCTGTATAACCAAATATACGAGTTTCCATTCTATTTTCCATTATCCCAAAATAACCCCAATGTAACGCTAAATAGCAGTTTCCATTTTATTCTCCGTTATCCCAATATTATGAGTTCAGAAGCTTCTCAGTCCTCAAAGCCAGGATCGGCAAGATCTGGCACATGAAGGGATAGCACCGTTTTCCTGCGTGCGTGTTTGCAGATAAAAGGGTTCCCCAAAATTAGGGAGTACCTTTTGAGGGATCCCAAGAACAAGGGTTTTAGTATTTTGGACTCTGTATTGGGATCACTCCAATTTTGGCAAACCCTTTGAGGCGACAGTGAGGCAGTCTCACAGGATCAGAGCTATCCTTCTTTCTCCAAACAGACCTGAGGAATTACAGTAGGGTTAAGGGTTTAGGGGTTTAGGGTTTTGAGGGTCCAGGGTTTAGGGACAACCAAGCTTCACTATCCCTATCTTCACTGATCACCGCGTTTTGGACTCCTCTTTTCGGCATCGAGACAGCGGAAGCTTGCGAGCGCCTGAGCGGAAGTAAACAAAGGCGACTTGTCGAAGAGCCTGCCTGAAACCCACATCTTCAAGATCGGGTACCCCCCCCCTTTTTTCTGACGCCTCACATGAGCTATAGCCTAAACTCATAGCACAGTATCCCCCTTAATACTGTAACCCGTACAGCAGTCCCCTATATAATCCCTTAAAAGGAGTTAAGACTATGGCTGACATGGTGTTGTGGACACCAAGATTCTCTGCATGATCCCTGATGTTGGTTGACACATGCCGCAGGGCATCTTATTCCCAACAAAATTCGCAAGACACTCCTTACAGGGTGCTATATAAGGAATTATATAGGAGTACTATAGGGCTTTTTAAGGGTGATACTGGGAGTCCAGGGCCTGATGGGTCAGCCATTTCAGGGTCCAGCACGAAAATCTTGCATATCTACCCCGCATTGCTGAACATCTGAATGAGCTACATGAATCCAGGCGCTTGAATGTGACAACATCCCGCTACTTATGCACACCCACCCTGCAGAACCTATGTGTTGTTCTCAGAATTATGGGCCCCTATTGGTGATAAACTATATTACGGCGCCTAATATTTTTGGGGTACCAAAATGGGACCCTAATTTTGGGAACCCTAAACCCTAAACACTACGCCCTAAAACCCTAAACCCTAAACCCCTAAACCCTAAACCCTAATTTTGGGAAGGCCCCCTATGACCATCATCACCCAAGCAGGGACTAAAGGCCTTCTCACTGCGCATCCGCCTGCAGCGCTGCAGAAAATCCTGGAAGGCTGCGCACATGGAGGCACCCGGGGGGGCCTTAATATTAGTAGGGTTTAGGGTTGAGGGTTTAGGGTTTAGGGGGACTTAATAAGGGATGTCCATAGTCTATATAGGGGACAGGGATAATGGAAAAGAAAATGGGAAACTACTCTTGTATCATGGGTTATGTATGGGGATAATGGAAATGAAAATGGAAGCTACTATTTGTTAGGATCTTAATTTTAATTCCCAGTAAGGGGAGTGGGTTTATTAATCAGGGGTCTACATTACCTAGGATCTCAAGAATGGCTTCCGCCAGTCCTGCCTCAGGATCGGCGGCCAGCAGAAAGTCAGAAGGGTCCTCCTTCGGGAGGTCCTTCGGCTATTGCTGGTGACTTCTGTGTTTCTGAACAGCCGTCTCACTTTGAGACCATTGTGATAGAGTAGTTTCCATTTTCTTTTCCATTATCCCAAGTAAAAAATCCCAATGTACTGTAGTAGTTTCCATTTTCTTTTCCATTATCCCAATATGACTGCAAAGAGAGAAGGTCAAGAAGCAAGTGCAGCGTCCTCAACAAGGAGGATTGGGCAGTCTTCTACGACTACCTGTGATCACCAATGTATATGGACCTCACCCTCCAACATGAAAGGAATTCGAAGGCCTCACCAGCCTTTACATCCCCGCCAGCGACAAGCTGACAGGTGGCCTGGCAGCCAACAAAAGATGACCCCGATAAGATCGACAGGATTCTGAACGATGTCACCGTGAAACATCATGAGACCACGCTGAGCCGAGGCCAGAACCGCATCATATCTCACCGCTGCACGCAGGATCAAAGCGTGTCCTCCCAAAAAAATCAAGTTCAGCGCCTGAGCCGTATGCTTGTGAGTCCAGGTCACCAACAGCTCAATGACTCAGTGTCAGTCATGCCAATTTGGTAGTTTCCCTAGATAAGCGGACCCCAATATAGACCCCAATAAACTATCATCCTTATTATGGGGACCCCCAATAAGGTACCCGAATTTTGGGAAACCCTAAACCGTATATATTCCCTCTAAAACCTCTATAAACCCCCTAAAAAGGTACCCCCTAATTTTGGGAAACCCTCATAAAAACCGTAAAGTTACCCCAGAACCCCAGAACCTCTAACCCCTAAACCCCAAATCCCTGGAACCCTAGAACCCAGAACCCTAAACCCTAGAACCCCAGGATCTCATCTGGAGTCCTCTTCTTGTCCTCGGTGACTCCGTGCGGCGAGGTTTACTCCGACCTCGATTGGAGACGGCCGCAGCCTTGGAAATTGGAAGTGCAAAGATTCCAGATACCATAACATACCATGACTTGCTACTATTTACTATAATTACGTATAGTATAATATATTATAGTATACTATAATATACTATAATCTACTATCATATACGATAGTATATTATAGTATCTTATCTGTCTGCATGCAAATCACACAGCACTTAATGTGATACAATAGACTGTATTATATGCTACAAGATACTGTAACGCTTATAAGCAAATGCGCAAGCAGATGTGCGTTTTCTGATTCTGGCAAACAATTTGAAGCGGTCGCTGTCTCCAAACTGCCTCAGCCGACTTTCCGAGGCTACTGGGTTGGGGTCTCTAAAGTTAGCACCTTTAAGGGTTATATAGGCAGTTACAGGGCTTACATAGGGGTAGGGGTTTAAGGGTTTTAGGGCTTAGAGTCTAGGGTTTGTCCCCTTTCGCTCGTCCTTCTAGAATATGGTAGTTGCCCAAAATAAGGGGACCCCTAAATCTAGACCCCAATAGAATGTAATCGTTATTATCAGGACCCCCACAACGGTACCCCTAATTGTTGGAAACCCTCATATGTTGCTGCTGTATCAGCCTTGCAGTATTGCTGCTACGTGAGCCTGACGTATTCGTTAGTGTCCGTGCAGATGCGTACGTGATACCACCGCTAAACGAGCTGTAGTCCAAACTCCTGGCATCCCCCTAAAAAAACCTGTAATACACCCCTACATAATCCCCTCCATAACCGCCTCTAAGGAGTGTAGACTGTAGCTCGAATGAAGCGGCCTCACAATTACTCATCTTGTTGCTTAATGACGCCCGCTGCTCTCCCCTTTCCGAAAGCTGTGCTCTTTTATGCTTAGGCCCATTCTATCCTAGTATACCCCTGAGTAGCCCTTATAATACAGGGTTTAGGGTTTGGGGTCTAAACTCCTAGTACACCCCTCAATAACCCGTATAATAATTCCCTACGTACTCCCCTATATACTCAGCCTTTAGAGAGGACAATCATGGGCTCATATGAGAACAGGATGCGAATGCTGCTCCGTGTCTGCGTGTCACGTTTGCTGAACGAAGCTGGCCCATATTGGCTGCTACTTGCTGGATCTTGCTGACAAGCCGCTGCCAATGCTGAGAAGGAGGACATGAAAGAACCCAGTATCAGAGTGCACGTGGACAAGGACAAGAGGTCGACAAAGGCCTCAGGCGGCAGGCAGCTTTCCCAACGTTTTGGCATAGACCTGTGGCACTTTTCAGACTTGAGATATTGTCAACCGAGCATGCGGCATCCTCCATAGCCTGAAGGCTGTAGATGCTGTAGTGACAAAGCATGCACAATCACCACTGCTCGCCCAGTAGCTTCAGGGGTCTTCCTCACAGGCGCGAACTTTCAGATTTTCAAGCCAAATTGAAAGCAAAACAGGCAAAAGTCCTGCAGAGGCTGCGCTTTATGTGGCATCTGAGCTGACTCCCGTAATGCCGCAGCATGAGTTCTTCCACCTGCGGAAGGCCCAGGGCCAAGACACAGCACAGAATGCAGATCCAAGCTGTGCCTGGGGCTCATCTGTTGATAAGAAGAAGCCCTGAAATTGCGATCCCAATTCTCTTGCAGCACTGTTCATGGCCTCGCACGTGCCACGACGTGTGTGCAAACAGAAGGAGACTTACACACGTGGTCAGTTGTTCCTGACAAGAAGGTTTGTGGCGCCTCGACGAAAACATCATCAGTTGATTCCAGGCAAGCAGCCTCCAGCTGTCAAGCTTGCGCATGCAACACAGGAGAATGATCTGCTAGCTGCTTGCTACCTCTGGATGCTCTGGTGCTGGTGCGCCTGATGGTCGGTTCGGCGAACGTGCACCCCAACCTGCACGAGCACCACGCAGACTGAGGGTGGACAAAATGCGGGACCCATCTCAGTCATGTACGGTGCCGGAGGGTAGCTGCCAGATCCTTCACTTTGCGTATGCATCCACATGATATTCTCAACATGAAGTCCCAATGGCATAACTATCAATCTCCATGCTGCGTCTCCTTTGCTGGAGCTGCCGATTCGGAATCAAAGCTTGGAGCATATCTGACCTGTCAGCTAGTGCTCACCCCACAAACCATTATGTCTATGGTTATTATTACTACTGTGATTATTACTTTTACTATTACTATTTGTATTAGTATTGTTTTTATTAATATATTATTATTATTGTTATTAGTATTGTTGTTATTATTATTGTTATTATTATTCTTGTTTTTATTGTTATTGTTATTACTACTTTCTTACTATTATGACTTTTTGTTGCATGGCCTCACTCCCAAAAGCTCGTCACGAAGCCTGGCTGTAACGTCTGTACGTCCTCAAGCGCCGACATTTGCAAAGCTCATGCCTCGAAGAGGCGGGGTAAAACTCAGAGAAGGCGGCTACAACCTCCAGATGCATTCTGCACTGTCCATCCCTATATAATCCCTATAATACCCCTATATGACCCCTTTGTATACCCTATTATATTATAGTAGTTTCCATTTTGTTTTCCATTATCCCTATATAATCCCCATATAATCACACCTAGTCAACTCTAAAGCACGCATAGAGACTACGCACTGCGCACCGTGCCGCCAAGCAGCTGCGCAGGGTGCCTCCCAGTGACATTCGTGCAAAAATTCCCTGAACCCTATAGTGGTTTCCATGTTCTTGTCCATTATCCCTATAGAATCCCTATAATACCCCTATATAATCATATCATCCTTATCATACCCCTACATCGTACCTATGTATATATAGATATAATACCCATACAGAATCCCAATAAGACTCCTATATAGTACCTATAATACCCATATATAAGCCCTATAAGGCCCTATACAGTCCCCATCTAGGCTTCTGAAGTTTCCGGAGGCCTGCAACGGCAGAGGCAGGTCGCCAGCAGGCATGTCCAGAAATCTAGGATGCCGCTGCCAGGTGGGTGACTCCAGATCCTGAGCATCGATAGCAAAACTGCATCCATCCCTAGAACCTGTATATATACCCGATTATATCAGAGTAGTTTCGATTTTCTTTTCCATTATTCCCATATAACCCCAACATGTTCCCCATATAATCCCTATGCTCCCTGTAGTTTCCATTTTCTTTTTTAATTATCCCTATATAACTCCTATATAACCCTTCTATAATCCTATATAGTCCCTACATAACCCCTATATAACCCCTCTATACTCGCTATATAATCCCTATAGTAACCCTTGTTCCTATATAGCCCACGACAGCAAGAAAATAAGTGAGGACGCCGCGAGCCAGCAAGCCAACCCTCAGCCCATTTAGGGTTTAGGGGTTTAGGGTTTAGGGTTTAGGGTTTAGGGGTTTAGGGTTTAGGGGTTTAGGGTTTAGGGGTTTAGGGTTTAGGGGTCTAGGGGATTAGGGTGGACCACATGGCACCACTGACACACTAGTGCTGCTATTGGTATTAGGACTCATAGTAGTTTACTACTACTATATTGCTATATTGATATATTACTATATTACTATATTACCCTAAACCCTAAACCCTTATATGACTACACCTTCTGCAAGGAGCTTGCAGGCGAGGCACCACAGCAAGGAAGCTGCAAGGGCGGAAGGAGCACCTTGCTGGCCATTTGGGAAGCAAAGTTCTCCACATCGGTGCCTTGGGTTTAGGGTTTAGGGTTAAGGGTCTAGGGTTTAGGGTTTAGGTTACATAGTGATTAAAGGATTATACAAGGATTATATAGGAATTCAATGAGGATTATAGAGGGATTATGAAGGAATTCTATGAGGATTATACAGGGATTATGTAGGAATTCTATAAGGATTAGTCAGGGATGATGTACGAATTCAACAAGGATTACACAGGGATTATACAGGAATTCTACCAGAATTATACGAGGAATACATCGGAAGTCTAGAGTTCTGTAAGGATTATACAAGGATTTTGTAGGAACTCTTTAAGGACTATACAGGGATCATATAGGGATGATATAGGGATGAAGGGAAGATCTCACAGCTCACCACCACGACACCACCTTCCCACCTCCTCCCTGAAGCAGGGCAACAGCCACTCCATTGCAGACCAGCTTCTGGCACAGATCCGGTCTAGTAAGCGGATGCCACACATCATAAAGGTATGCTTTTGCAGCAGGTCCGCGGTCAGCAAGTGGACCCTGGTCCTTTCGGGAAGCAGCGCCTTGAGATCAGCCACGAAAACACATGAGCTACTGTCTATACTCCTAGTATCCCCCTTAATAAGCCCCATAGTAGTCCCCTATTGAATCCCCTATACAACCCCCCTTTAAGGAGTTTAGACTATAGATCACATACCACCATTGTCCTGGCTCCGACCCGAAGAATGGGTTGAGCGAATAGCCGCTCCCACGAGCACCCACAGGAATCCGTGACCCGCCAGTCGACGGCAACTTGCCTTCCTGGGGCTGCGAAGACATACTGAAATCTTCACATGGATGTAGTAGTAGTAGCAGTAGCAGTAGCAGTAGCAGTAGCAGTAGTAGTAGTAGTAGTAGTAGTAGTAGTAGTGATAATAATAAAAATGAAAATACAAATCAGAATAGTAATAATAGTAGAAGTAGTAATAGTAATGGTGTGTGATTGCCGGCATGGATTTTCTCCAGACAGCTGTCCTGTGTCTTCAGCCAACATAGCAGCAGACAGGATGGCAGACAGACGATTGCCTCAACTGCACAAATACTTAGGGTTTCGGGTTGAGGGTTGAGATTGGGGGTTTAGGATAGGAAATGGGGGAATATACTCCCTACATTGGTTCCAAGTAGGGAATAATGGAATATGGGTTTAGGGTTTAGGGCTGAGGGTTTAGGGTTGAGGGTTTAACCCCAATATACTGCGTTTCCACATTCCCTACTAACAGAAAGTACAGGATTGACCAATCATGGCTTCGCCGAGTGCAGGCCGGTTGCAGAGACCATTCAGGGGACGAAGCAAGATCCAGTCCTGACCTTCCTCCACCACAGGACCTCGAAACTTGACAA